ACAATGGTACATATCCAGTTAATGAGAACATGTTAAAAATGAAGTGACGAAAATGTGGTCATACAGCCCCATACTAATTCGTCAGGTATAATTCCAAACATAATACTGCTGAAATGTGCTTAAATGCAACACCTACCAAGAAATATACAACGAAGCGTAGGAAGCGAATACGTGGCTTTAGTTAATTCAGACTTACTCAGAACAAGCACCTTTTGCGTAGGTGCTAACCAACACACTAGTATTATGGTACACATTATAATATATCCCGTGTGCCGAGTCAAACATATTAACAGCACACATTTTGATAACGTACCTGAATATTTTAGGAAGATTATTTTATTTTTCAGAACACTGCCAAGGACATTCTCGAATGTATTTCTTATCTATTATATTATTCTAAAATACTATAAATTAGGCTTCACAATGCACTTCGGTGTGCGATCCTCAAATTAGGGCTACGTTTTTATGGGGCATTCTATTTTAAAGCGCTTAAGACAAATGAGACGATTTAACAGAGCTGTTCTCAAAAGCAATTTTATTGTCAGCGACAAATTTCGATTCATCTTCTGCTCTTTTTCATTGCGTACATGGAACTAGATTAAAAAATGAACGTCAAAACCTTTTTGTACTAATACTAAATGGAATTCAAACAGTCTTATGGATTCACTGCCATTTTTTTACACAAAGCCTTTCTTTTTGTATATTGCCGCAGGCGATACAGTACGCGCGTAACATAAAGAAAACGTGAACCTGATCTTTCTATCCAAACGCCACTTTGCAAATACAATTGATCGATTTCCGACCACACATCATACTAGTATAAAAAATTAGTTGACTGAATCCTCATAAAATTTTAGTATTACTAGTGGTTCCGCAGTAGTCGAAATTCGACTACAATTAATTGAAATTTTCTTTATAAACATTATTATGGTTCTAGTGTCAAACACTATTAGAATTTTTTAATATAATCACAGATTTCGCCAAAACTACACTATATTTATTTATTCTCAATTCGATCACAGACTTTCAACAATAACAAATGTTTGACAATAAAGTACGCAGAGTATATATGTGTGTATATGTGTCAAATATATGATAGTGTGTGTAATGTTTTCTTTATTAATTTAATGATTTTTTTGTGCATAATTAATAAAAAAATTAACATTCTGCACTCCTCTATATTCTCTATAAGTGTGGGAAATTTCATACTCCTCCGTCCGCGCAATTTTCGTAAAAAGGGGTACAAAGTTTCTGCTTCACGTATTAATATATAGATAATTTTACATGTCAAATTCTAGCTAGCATACAACCAACATGATTATATTTTACACCTAAATGTTCGGATTAATTTAAACATCAAAACTAAGATGCCAGAGATTACGATTTTGAGTCACGCGCACACCTCATTACTTATGTTGTCGGTGTGAAGTATTCTTGGCCACCTCAACGGGGTTCGGATTAATTTCTGCTCGGGAATGCCAGCGAGATTAAGGGTGAACGTGAAATGTCGAGTGTCGCGAACTGAATTGCCGACAGTGATTCCGACTCGGTGTCAAGCGAATAAACCGCAACTTTGTTTGTTTTCATTTAAAATTAGTAAATTTGCTCTGTGGTTCTTTAATTAAAAAAAAGTAGGTAGGTACGTTATTTTGTGTGACCATATTTATTAATTAAAGAGTTTTTATTAATTCTGTATCGTTTCGAGGACAGTTGACAGACAGATAGCGTGACCTCGTAGATAACAACATAGCAATCAATATTTAACAGTTTTTTTTGCTGTAATGGGCTGATGATTTTTCGTTGCAACTGGTGTTAGGCAGTGGAGACCTTAAATATCACAACGTATATATAGCACGTCCTATCTTAAGACATGAAGCCAAAATATCAACTATATCATATTATAATGTTAATTATTCTACTCATCAAATCGAAAAATTCCGGTTTCAACGCAAAAGTAATCATGATGGTGGTACAAGTGAGGGTTTATCAAATGTCCTAGTAATATTTCTAATACAGACTAAAAACTAAAAAGAATATAAGTTGGTAACAAAAAAAAATTTTATTATCAAAAGACAAATTTCATGTAACATAAGATTAGGTGATCGTAAATAACTTCAAAATGTTAGGTTTTTAAAAAAATACCCAAAGATAATTCGTGTGAGCGTGACATTTGCTACATTAATTCTTCTTCAAGCTCAACTTAGTAAAACTCAGTCACGCTTTTTATGAGTAAAAGTAAGTTTAACATCCATTTTTCTCGAGCGAGGAACATAGATAACAATCACTGCGACATTTTGGGCGTCGTAACCAGCCAAAATTGCGTGTTCATCATCTCAAGGAGCCATTGTAGTCGGGAGTCGTTGACGCGTTCAGACAAACGATTATCCTCGCCTATCTCCTTCATAGGAATTTTGTTAGTTAGCTTTTAAATACGAAGATAACTATAAAATCAATCGTGACTAAAATCATTGTTCTATTGTTAAAGTCGAATAGAGATTCTGATCTCCTGGTTTTTTTGGTGCTGGTTAGTGTGTATATCTGAGACTTTTTATGGTCTTTGTAGATAGATGAGCATATGGTCTACCTGATGGTGAGTGGTTACCGTCACTCATGGATGTCAACAATACCAGGGTTATTACTTTAACTAGAGGTCCCGCAGTAGTCGAAATTCGACAATAATTAATTGGAATTGTAAGTTTGTACACTATTATGATTGTATTTTATACTTCTGTAATCACAAATTTCACCAAGGCTACACTATAAAAAAATATTAATAAAGACAAACAATATTTAATCTATTCTCCATTTGACAACAGACGTCAAGAACAAAAGTTTGACAATAAATAGTATGAATGCGTGTGTGCGTCAAATACATGGTATGTGTGTGTAATGTTTTCTTTATTGATTTAATGTATCTTTTATGCATCATTTAAAAAAATAATTAGCATTGTGCACTTCTTCTCTATATTCTCTATAAGTGTGGAAAATTTCATACTCCTCCGTCCGCGCAATTTTCGTAAAAAGGGATACAAAGTTTTTGCTTCACGTATTAATATATAGATATCCGCCGTTGTTGCACTACTACCCCTTTGTTTAACTTGGTATTAGAACTCACTACTTATTTTATAAGTAAAGCGCAAACGTAGCCCAAGATAGGTCGCGATAGGTATGGCATGAAACGCTGTTGAAGTCCCGCCTGGGCTTTATTACCCTAAAAATAACATGAACAATAAGTTATTGTATACTTATATTGTATTTTTGTGTAATATATCTTGAAACAATATTCACGTTTCATACTAAGATAAACATAAATATCATTACTCAGAGTATATTTGAAGCATCACATCTCATAGTTAGCTAATTTTAAAAAACTATATAACATTACGTACAGTTTTAAGCCATTTTTTATGATATATGTATTGGTCGGTTGTTTTGGGACTATTTTTGGCGTGTGCATTTCCGTTTTAATTCTGAGAAAATCATAATGTTATTGTAATTTACTATTTAACTCGTGTTTTAAAGTTAATGGTGCAATTTACGCTATAGATTTCATAGCTTCAAGTTGTATCTTAATGTTCATGCTATGCAATGAGGTTTTCTGTGTGCAATTTACAAATTGTAGAAGTGAGTCATTCCCGATCCTGCGGAAAGAATGGAAAGCAGTCGACGTCGCCCCAAACACGTCATTTCGGATCCTCCCGATCCACTAACGGTGCTTATAGGTACCTCAAGCACCGGTCACCGTCCTCGTCGAACTCGTCGCTTGCGACGAAGGGCTCGAAGAGTATATTAACCCTAAGACACAGCCCACTGAGTTTCTCGCCAGATCTTCTCAGTAGGTCGCGTTTCCGATCCGGTGGTAGATTCTGCGAAGCACGGCTCTTGCTAGGGTTCGTGTTAGCAACGGCGTCAGGTTTGAGTCCCGTGAGCTCACCTATTATTTAAGGTTCCGCTGAAATAGCCTCTCAAGGCTATCAGCTCAAGTAGGAAAAAAAAAAAAGAAGTGAGAATTCAATTATATTTTTTAAATCATTCTTTCGTAGTCTAAATGCGATAGAAAAGTTTTGATATCAATATATTTGTTTAATTATATTTACGTAGTAAACAAATATTTTAGAATACATTTTATTAGAAATCTCTTATTTGCGTACATAAGAAAGTAGAGTAAATTCAATAAGAAAACTCATGTTGAGTCCAAATCCTGTGAACGTGTATGGTTTGTTGTGCAAATAAGAGCGATAAAACGATTTATTTTGTACGATGAAAGCCGATTCACGGGCGACCGAAGTGCCTATGGCGACCGGATGTACAGCGTCCTACGCACACAAAGCTCATGCGACGTAACCACGTAACGCCACGCGCGTAGCTAAAAGCTACAAATTTGTATTTCCTAAAACCGTAAACATAATTAAAACGCGAACAACGCCCGTCATTACGACAAGTGAAAATGTTGTAAATCTATATCTATACTAATATTATAAAGAGGAAAGATTTGTTTGTTTGTTTGTTTCGAATAGGCTCCGAAACTACTGGCCCGATTTGAAAAATTATTTTTCCATTAGAAGCCGACATTGTCCCTGATGAACATAGGCTACTTTTTTTAATTTTTTTTTTATTAATTTTTTTTGGTTTCATGTTTGTTTTAAAGTTTCCGAAGCGAAGCGAGGGCGGGTCGCTAGTCAACCTATAAGTTAATTTAAAATGCAAAATTTAATTTGTTTTTCAGGGGCACCACGGAAATCCTATTTGCACCGTAAACCACTCATGCTCTTGACTTTGAAGGAACGTCTACATATTATTACACTAGAATTAGGATTTCAATATCGTTTCTCAATGTGTGCGGTGCTATTCACGCTGTGGTTAACGTGGGCCGTGAATTTCTCTGCAAAACTAACACCAACTAAAAATAACAACAAAGAAACTTGAAATCACGTGTTTCCATTTTTGTTCATGGCTCTTGTATTGTTTACAATCAATACAATGCGATTATTCGAGCCATGATGGATTGTGCATTGTCACAGGACGTGAATGCAGGTGCGTCGTGATTTTGCAACAAAGTCTTTAGGCCACGCCCGATCTTTGATCCGATTCAGTGGGTCGCGATTCCGATCCGGTGGTAGCTTCTGCGAAGCACTGCTCTTGCTAGGACCACTGTTACCAAATTCTCTCAGGTTGAGCCCGTGAGCTCACCTACCCGTCCCCGCTTATCTGAAATAGCTGCTTAAGCTACCAGGAAATAGGTAGCGAAAAAACCTACACGATGTTTTTAAAAGCGCTAATTAATGCTGCCAATTAGTGAAGGGTGTACTTTCTGCTTTACGCTAACTTCAGTGCCAACGACGTTACGGAAACAAAAATAGGTCCCGTACTAGCTCGCTCTCTTTACATTTGTATAAGCATAAAACATTAAAATACAATAATCTAACCAATTTCTTTTGAAGATTAAAAAAAACCCACAATGAAGATTTAAATATTTAATAACCATTAAGAAATAAGAAAATTAGCATTGATCGAACAAGATCCAGGCCTCTACCTACCACGTAGATCATAATCATTAACCTGGCTATAAACAGCTGAGCGTTAGTCAACCGCTTTTTGGATCTTAGCACTCCTATAAACTATAGTTCTACCCAATCGTAAAGCCGCATTCTCTTCTGCCGCCAAAGAAAATCAAAAATAGTTTTTTTGAAGTGAAACTTCTTTAGGCGCATGAGGGTAAAATTTTTACAGATGTAACGTCACGCAGGTATGCAACGGAAGTGTCGAAAAATTTCAATACAGCGCCATCTATGAGATTTTTTAATACTAACGTGCGTATGAAACCTCTTGTAGTGAATTTCAATTTAGGATTATACGTGACGTTAAAATATCGATTCACAGAGGGCGCTACCTCATACTATAAAAGATGATTTACAATTATTTACTAATGACAAAATTTTACATATACTTAGACAATTAGGATAATTGTATTTTAATTTTTGAAGATTTCACTTCTAACTCGTGTGAATTGCACACATTCTTATACCACTTCTTTAAATCAGACTTAAAGACGAAACCGCAATAATAGACGGTATAAACAAATAGCGAATAGCCGAAACCAAATAGAATACTAAACTAACGTAAACAGAAAAGCATATTACTTAAGCTAAGCAGAAATATATTACTTGTGATTTGATCTTAATAACTTCATATTGCACGAGTTCGCTATTGCCATCGTATTAAAGTTCAAATCCAACAAAAACAGCACACAATGTTAGTTTGCTTAACTAAGCATAATACTTATCGTTTTAAGATCAAAGCGAATGCGTATCTAGCATCACACGATCTTAACCAGCAAGTCATCTGATTCTATATGTGCGTAAATTTACATGGCCTAAATTTTTTAATTAATTTAAAACATTTTTCAGTCGCTATTGTTTAATAATTACTAGAACTATTGCCTATCACAATTGCTAAGATGAGTGGATGAGCTTACAACCCACCTGGTGTTAAGTGGTTACTGGAGCCCATAGACATCTACAACGTAAATGCACCACCCACCTTGAGATATAAGTTCTAAGGTCTCAGTATAGTTACAAGGGCTGCCCCACCCTTCAAACCGAAACGCATTACTGCTTCACAGCAGAAATAGGCAAGGTGGTGGTACCTACCCGCGCGGACTCACAAGAAGTCCTACCACCAGTAAAATTATGGTACAATTATTTTTATTGGGAAATTTGTTCTATGGAGATCGTTTTTATGTATTTACTCGTATGCGGTTATATTCTCAATATATATTAGTGTTATATTCTCAACTATGAAAAGTCCATCTGGTGTTTTAAAATGGGTTCAATCTTCTAAAAGATGATATGCAATAGAATCGTAGGACATTAAACCTGAATTGTTTGATAACATTTAACAATTTACAGTTATCCTTTGATCAAGGGCGGATCCAGCTTTGGTGCCAGGAGGGAGTCACATAGTCATGGTCAAGTCAAGAACTTATAATTTAATTTTGATAACAATAGATACAAGTAAAAAGTAGGTATTTTATTAATGTATGTAAGTACTGTACTTAAAAATATTTATTCTTTATTGTACACTTGAAAAACTTAACACATAATAACTTGTACATATACACGTACATATTGTCATCTTCTCTTGAAGACATCCAGAGAAGCACTATCACGCCCGGAATGAGGCAGCTTACTTATATTCCATAACCGTGGTCCTAAAATCATTATGTTCAATATGTGGTCCACCTAGGTCCTGGAACCAGCTCGGGGGGGGGGGGGTCATGACCCCCATGACCCCCCCCCCTGGATCCGCCCTTGCCTTTGATACAAAAGTAATAAGTGTGAATTTCCGAAACTATTTCATCGCCGAAATTCTTTGAACGGGTAGATTTGTGAGCGAAAGCAATTAAACCGGACTGGAATTCATTAACCGTTGTCCCAAAGAAGACATTCATTAAATTAGTTTTATTTAATGTTCATAGTCTAGAACGATAAAATTTGCTCAGAGCGTTTTAAAAGTTTTTTTTTAATTCAAATTAAGACTTTTGGGTAACAGTCATAAAAAGTTACTAAGCGTTCTTAGAGACTTGTAACGTGAATGCGATAAATCACTTTCTAACGCCTTAAAATCTCACTTACCCAAAAAAATAACCATTCTACCCTTAAATTATTTTAATATTCTTAATTTGTGAGTGAAAGAGCGCTGTAGGTTGGGGGGTGAGGGTGGGTGAGCGCACGACTGGTTTTAAGAACCACGAACCAAAATACATCACGACTATCATTAAACTATACTTACTTATTGTGCCACACTTCAAACCGGAACACATGACTACTGTTTTGGATACAATAGTAGTACTAATTAACAAAAATATTGAAGATACACAGAATATAGAAGAAAAGAACAAAAGTATATGAAACAAGGTAGAAAATACACAAGTTCTGTGAGCGCACGGCTGGTTTTGGGGACCACGAACCTAGAAACATCACGACTATCATTAAACTATACTTAATTATTGTCCCACACTTCAAACCGGAACACATGACTACTGTTTTGGATACAATAGTAGTACTAATTAACAAAAATATTGAAGATACACAGAATATAGAAGAAAAGAACAAAAGTATATGAAACGAGGTAGAAAATACACAAGTTCTGTGAGCACACGGCTGGTTTTAAGGACCACGAACCAAAATACATCACGACTATCATTAAACTATACTTAATTATTGTCCCACACTTCAAACCGGAACACATGACTACTGTTTTGGATACAATAGTAGTACTAATTAACAAAAATATTGAAGATACACAGAATATAGAAGAAAAGAACAAAAGTATATGAAACGAGGTAGAAAATACACAAGTTCTTTAATAAACTCACAGAACCACACGTAACCGGTAGTAGACTCTTATTGAGTTTTCTGCGCTATTGATTTAAACATTGCTGGATATCAGAAAAATGTGGGACACTATGCGCAAGTGAAGGAATGTGCAGAACCGGTCCGGAGCACAATATTGCGCTGACGGCATTCCAACGCAGTCTACTGACCTCTTTACTAATAGCCGTTTTATTTTTCTATAAACCAAATTACATGCCATAAAAGATTCTGCTTCGTTCGCTGTGTGTAATAATAGCTTTTGTCCGCGACTTCGTCCGCGTGGAATAGTTCCTTTGGCATAACGCTAAATTTTAACCGCGACTTCATTTACGTAGAAAATGAAAATATTTTTGAATAATACACTGTTAAGGAGCTATTTAAGATACCAAAATCACGCTTTTTAACAGTTAGTTAGTTAGCATAAAAAACGTCATAGTGAGCCAATCTTAAAATATAGACATATGCTGTCCCGGACCTTTTTTTAGAACTTTTAAAAGGGAACAATTTTGTCATACATTATTTTAGCGAAACTTTAACCGTTTCCGCAGCGCATGCTCTCAAAAGGGAAAAAATCCCGATTTTGAAACATTCTTTACTGGTGGCTCCGCTTACATTAATATTAGCGTGATGTTATATAGCCTACAGCCCTCCTCGATAAATTATCTATCTGACACTTAAATAACTTTTCAAATCGGAGTAGTTCCTGAGATTAGCGCGTTCAAACAAACAAACTCTTCAGCTTTATAATATTAGTATAAATAATGTTAATTTATTCTTCCTTCAGTACCTCGACAACCGAGCCAATATATTACTTTCCGAATTTAAGTTTAAACATATCTATCTACATATGTTAGGAGTCCGCAAGAAAGCGAAACGGTATTTCACCTCTGGGCAAAGACTTCTGTTTTACAAAGCGCAAACCCGGCCTTTTATGGAGTACTCATACCTCTGAGTAGGATGAGCTCTCCTTCTCTCGTTTAGCCGCCTTCTACTGCGTATTGGTGGACTCGCAGAAGTCTAGCATCGCCTCCAGGACTTGTCACTGCTCGGTGACAGTCGGCAAAGACAAATCAGGTCCAATTTTTTTCTTTTTAGTGGTAGGACCTCTTGTGAGTCCGCGCCGGTAGGTACCACCGCCCTGCCTATTTCTGCCGTGAAGCAATAATGTGTTTCGGTCTGCAGTGTAGGGCAGCCGTTGTACCTATACTGAGATCTTAAAACTTATATCTCAAGGTGGGTGGCGCATTTACGTTACGGATGTCTAAGGCCTCCAGTAACCACTTAACACCAGGTGGGCTGTGAGCTCGTCCACCCACCTAAGCAAAAAAAAAACCTTCGAATGTAAACTTTTCTTATATTGGTTGTGGAATGTATAACTGAAGCTTTGTAATTTTGCAAGCTATTACAATAAACTTTATAATAACCTAATATTTGTAATTAATTTATATCTCATGTATTTTTTAACACGTTCTCGTGCCATTGGTAAAGTAAGTAAGTAAATCAAAATATATTTTTTACGTTCTATTTCACGTTTTACTTAAAGCGTGATTTAAATAAATTACTAAACAATATTTAAACCGCGAGATAAAAACCGCACGATTTATTTTTGCTTAGTCGCGTAAAACTATATCGTTTCAACATCTTTCAGCGAATATTGAC